CCCCAAAACCCCAAAACCCCAAAACCCCACTTAGTAATTTATTTATTGAATTTTCTAAAACTGCCTACAAAATGTACTGAATGAGCTATCACACACGGAGTGTTAACTCCCCAACTGTGAAGAGGGTACGGCTACCGTTCTGTGTCTTAAAAACAGCTTTATTTCTATATCTCAAGAGGAGGTTTCCCTTCATGGATCATCTCTTCAACCTAAAATCCTTCTTCGAAGGATTTTAGGTTAAAATTTTTGATATTTTCAAGAAGGAAATTTCCACAAAATTGACCAAAAATGTTATAGGACTTACAAAAGTATTGTTTTACACCATCTCCACACCAGCGGATGGCCTTCAGCAACTGTATTAGAGTAAGCTTCACCCATTTTGTGTAAAAGCTGTGATACTGAATTGCTAACGCCTTGTAGAGTCCGAAACTGCACAACCCCATCAACGACATGTTGAAGAAGATAGTGAAGAAGGTATGCCTCTTTTGGGTCAGCCAACTGGCTGACCCCACCAAAAGATAAATATCTTGGAGGTTATTTGTCAAACTTGTTGATGTTTTAAGGTTTCAATTCCTCAGAATCGATCTAAAAGCCATCGGTTCTCTTTAGAACAAATAGGTCAACTCGTTCTGTAGCAAATAAGGTGGCTATAAATCCAAATTTTGCTCAACTAGCCTTCTGAAAGACCTGTTGACATTTTTGAACTTTATTTTACAAAAATGATAACTGGACTGCCGAAGGTGATAGTATCTCTAAGAAATTTTCAGATAGTGCAATGTGTTCTTCTGGTAAATGTAGAGGATTAAGTACTAATCAGTAGATATGGACCCTACTATTTCCACATCAGTTGGTAGCATAAGCATTGAGAATAACCATCCAGCTATTTTTAGATGACTGGACTTTAGAAGCGTTATTTTAGTTATAATACTTTACTAAACTTACAAAATTATAACTGATTTAGAGAAAAATTGAGACACGAGGGATGCCAGAATTATTCTCCCCTTCTAGATACTTATCACCGAGCATCGCAAAATCAGTAAGTGAGGTTTTGGAAATAATGAGTTTGCTTTTATAGCCCCTTTGAAGTTTTTAAATCAATAAAATCAAATTTTATTAACTCCAATTTTCTTACTGCTTTAAAAATTCCAGAATTTTAACCTCAATATTCTCTAATCTCAATAAAATGAACAAAACTCCTAAAAACTAAAAAAAATTAAACTAATTTTATTCTCCTCAAAATCGAGGTCTGCGAAATTCTGGAGGGACTCCATCTAACGACACGTTTCCATATAATCTTACAAATGCTCACAGGTAAAAGGACTTCTTATGTAAGTACTTTCATTAACTCAAACCTAATCTTCTGAAGAATTACATCTTATTTCTAAATAAATGAATTTCTTCAAAAATTAATAATCTATCCATTTTCATACTTTTGATAAGATTTTTACAACTTATCATGAAAAACCTTCTTCAGTTGTATAAATCTCTCTAAAAGCTCAACAATAAGCTCCCAAGTACTTTATTAAAGCTCAGATTTTGGTAAGGTGTCAAGCGAGGAGGGCCATCAAGGATTATCTCTAAAAACAGAGATCTTGGCCAAATTTGAAGCTAGACCTGACCCTTATTCCTGATCCAATCTGATCTCATTTGTTTCTATAGGAAGAAGAGACTTAAGGTAAGAATGAGAGCTTTTTATTATGAATTTGCCAAAATCCATATCCAAAACCCTTTACTCTAGCGCCCATCCGTACTCAGAAAGTTTAAAAGAAGAAGGAAGATTACTGATGGTAAGCATGCCTTAAAACCAATTCTACAATTTTAAGCTGAAACTTACCCTTTTTAACACTTTGGAATGTTTGTCCATAGGTATTGTAACAGGACCTACAGAACTTAACCATTCGAAAGTGATCAAAGTGAATACAGATCTAAATGAGCTCAGTGATACTCCTCCAAGTAGGCATCATTCACCACTTCTAGGATACAAAAAGAATCTGTTTAGACTTGACAATCACAAACAGATAAATCTGAAGAAGACGATTATCTCTAAAAATGTTCATAATCGCTCTACTATGGAGCCTTCAAAAGAAATCAGTATTCATGGCTTAATGACTCTTAGGAGGTATCGCACACAGGAAAAGGACTGGGGATGATTACAGATTTATGGTCAGTTCGCCAACCCAGAATATCAAGAGGCCAAAAGTATGTCTTTTAACAGTAATTTGTAGCTGAAGCACTCAAATACGAAGGCGTTCAGGCATGGAGGACAGGATACATTGACAAAAGACTTACTGTCTCCAAATTGAAGTAAGTCTCATTGATTATTTCTAGCCTCTCCTGCCAACTTTTCTAAGAATTCTGACTACAAGAGGAGCAATTGCAAGAATTTAGATGAAATCAGCTCCCCAAACTCCAGTATTTCAAATGAAAATAAGAATATTTTTACCACGAAGCAACAGGGATTTGAGCCTCAGATCCTGAGCCTCTAGCTCCTGTTTTCGCTTATATTTCATTTTCAATAATTTTTGATTGAGATGGGGTTTTGGGGTTTTGGGGTTTTGGGGTTTTGGGG